GTTCGCCCCCCTGAGTCCCTCCCGGAGAAGGGCGGCATACAAATAAACTAAATCTTAAATCTTAATCTTAAATCTTTAATCTTTCTAGCCCAATGCTGGTATTAGAGCTGGGGACCTTGGAGGTCTTTTAGTCAAACCCCCCTTGCTCAGGCAGGAAACCCCAGACCATTTCAGATAAGTGGTTGTCCAATCTCTTCTTAAAAACTTCCAGTGTTGGAGCACCCATAACTTCTCAAGGCAAGTTGTTCCACAGATTAATTTTTCTAATTGTCAGGAAATTCCTCCTCAGTTCTAAGTTGTTTATCTCCATGATTAGTTTCCACCCATTGCTTCTTGTCCTCCCCTCGGGTGCTTTGGAGAACAGCTTGATTCCCTCTTCTTTGGGGCAGCCCCTGAGATATTGGAGCACTGCTATCATGTCTCCCCTGGTCCTTCTTTTCATTAAACTAGACATACCCAATTCCAGCAACCGTTCTTTATATGTTTTAGCCTCCAGTCCCCTAATCATCTTCATTGCTCTTCTCTGCACTCTTTCTAGAGTCTCCATATCTTTTTTTCTTTTACATTGTGGCAACCAGAAGTGAAGTGTGGCCTTACCAAGACATTATAAAGTGGTATTAACACTTCACGGGATCTTGATTCTATTCCTCTGTTAATACAGCCTAGAATTGTATTCACTTTTTTGGCAGCTGCTGGCCCTTATTTCACTAGGACTCCCAAGGTCGCTCTCACAATTACTACTATTGAGTGAGGTGCCACCTATAGTGTACCTGTACATTTGTTTTTAGTTGCCTAAATGTAGAAGCTTACTTTTTCCACCATTGAATTTTATTTCGGTACCGGTGGTGAGATTCAGCCAGTTTGCACCACTTCGGGGGAACCGGTTGTTAACTTTCTGAGCAGTTTGATGAAATAATTAGGGCAAAGACCCAGTTGTTAAATTATTTGAATCTCACCACTGACAGAACAACATTTGGTTTGCCCAGTAGAATCCACCGATCTTGAGTTTCTTAAAAAAAAAAAAGGATAAAGGAGGAGCAGGTAAAGTCATAATGTAATTAATTTGTCCCCAAGATGGAGTGAAATTATGGTGAATTTGTCATCTGCTTTCTCTCCTTGCTCCTTCCAAATACTTTATTAAAGCTAACATTTGTCCTTTGCAGAGTCTTTGTTGATGTTGTGAATGGAGAATATGTCCCTCGTAAATCAATTTTGAAGTCTCGGAGCCGGGAGAACAGCGTTTGCAGCGATACCAGCGAGAGCAGCACCACCGAGTTTGACGACAGGCGAGGAATCCTGAGGAGCCTGAGCTACGAGGACGCGACCCACAGCGACAACAGCGAGGGCATCTTGGAAGAGGAGGAGGAAGAACAGCGGGAGCAGAATCCCCTTTCTAGGAAAGCGCCTCCCTTGTCAGGAATGTATGAGGTAAAGAGAAGGCCCCAGTCACTCTCTCTCTCTCTCTCATCCCAACCCTCCTCACGGGATTGTCCTTGTGGGGGAAACCGAAGGAAGAAAGAACATTATGTATGAGTTGTTTATAAAAATGTTTAAAGACAAAGCAGCACCACTTTTAGATTGGAGGCCATCATCTTTGTTGTCTGTCATGACAGATTTCCACCCCCCTTCTCTCTAAAACTGTAGCTACAAAACTACATTCTGTCTCATCCAGGGGTGAAATGCTACCGGTTCGCTGGAACCAGTACTAAAAAAAAGCTACCAGTTTGCCTGAACTGGTAGTAAAAAAAATGCTACCATTTTGGGCAGACCGGTATTTCCAACGATCAGATGTGACGCAATGTTTTTATTAGTTAGAAAGCAGGATTTCTTGCTTCGCTGGGATTCAGCTGGTTCGAACTGGTTGAAAGCCCCTGTGCTTTACTTACCTATATCCTCTCAGCTGATCCGCATGGCACAGTGGATTCCCTCCCTCCTCCCTTTGCTGTTCTACTTAACCTTTGCAGGCGCGCTCGGTAGCAGGCTCCGCCCACACACCCAGACATCATCACGTCTGTTTTTGATGCTCTGCCCGCGCGCTCACATTTGCGAACAGGTAATGAAAGTAAGTAGATTTCACCCCTGGCCCCAGTGGTGGGTTTCAAAAATTGTTTGAACCTACTCTGTGAGTGTGGCCTCCTTTGTAGGAGTGGCTTGCCGCCCATGTGA